AAAGAAAGGAATGTGGCCTGGAAGTGGTATTAGGCTGTGGAGGATTTATGGGGAGTGGAACTTATTATGTAGTGTATGCAGTAATATGCGTGTGTGTTTATGTAGGCTAGTACCTTGGCAGCTGCATGGGGAGAGGCCCCCTGGTCCAGGAGGAGAAGTGCCACTTTCTGGTTATCGTAGTGCGCAGCTACATGCAGTGGAGTTAGTCCGCTCTACAAACACCCCCACACACACATAAATACACAACCACAGTGAGATGATGAGATAAAAGTGCACCACCAGCAGGCTGTCAGATTTTCAAAGCTAAACTATAGCTTAGAGTCTTCAAAGCCATACATGAATAATATGCACATTTGTGTATAGGCTTGTATAGGAATTGTTCCAGAGAGTTTTTTGTTGCTCTACTAAAAGCCTTTGGCTTGCAGAGATTGCCATACATTAGACCTCATCTTCATCTAACATACACCAGTAATGGATAGTAACCTATACAATCTTTAGGCTTAATGGGCTGTATTCAGAGTTGGAGACTTAAGTTCAAAAGTTACATCAATATTTACGCCGGGAAAGTTACACATATTCAGAGTTGGGTTATGCGCATGCTTAAGCTGCTTTTCTGGGAACCCCATTCAAATTATTACAATTACCTACATGTAGTTCATGAGGTTGCCAGATTGTCCTTGTGTAAAGGAGAGTGGGTTATTCAGAAGCATATAGACCACTGCTTCTAAAGACAAGCACTTGCTTTAAAGCCCAAAAAATGTGGGATAGAAAATGTGGACTGAAGACGGTTGTTGTGGTTGTTTTTGTTTTTTGTTTTTTTTTTGCTGTCAAATATAATACGATGTGACATAAAAGCATGAGACAGAAATGAAAAAAAAAAGACTCCTATGTTGACTTATGTGAGTGAGAAGAAGGCAAACATTGAAATAAAGCTCTAATATGATCTCTCTAGTATATTGCCAGTATATTGCTGCATGGATAGTTCTAGTAATTCTCACATTAATCACTGCAAATTTGGTTGCATCTGTCGTGATGTATGTCTGAGTTAACTATGAATATGGTCCAATGCGTGTATATGGAAAACCAGGTCAGAATAGCAGGCTGCTTTCCAGCAACATTAAAACTCATAGATTCACGTACATTAGCACCATAAACTCGCACTAACATTATGAGCAAGTACAAAAGTACTTATTTTTAAAACTATGTTCCAAAGCAAGAAATTCTGAGACATTCACAGTCTCAGTGGAGTACACAGGGAGTGGCTATAAACCTTCTCTACTGATTTACATGATAGATTGAAAGGTGCAAAGGGGACTGATGTGCATTTTTCCTTCTCTGAACTAGCAGTTCTTAGAAAACAGGCTATAGTTTGGCAAAATAACAAAAAGAAAGAAATAGGGAGAAGAAAAGCTCAGGATGACTTGTGTCTCAAGGCATGCATTTTTTTCTACTTTACCGTGGTCATGTTTCTGTCCTAACAGCAGTGATATAATCCTCTTAGAAAGGATATACTCATAGTAGAACTTCTGGACATTACCTTTCCTGATGCATCTGGTGGGGCTCTCTTCTGCAGCAGGAGGTTGGCAACCTCTATCTTCCCATACTTAGCTGCCACATGTAGCGGTGTGAATCCCTTCTGAAAAAAAAAAAATTAAGATGGCACTTTACTAGCATGTACAACTGCATGCAACTAAGTCAAACAGCACATGACGCTAAGACAGAATCAGTCCCGTTTTTGCAACTGGACACCTTGGAAAGTGGCAGTTAAAGGATTGCAACAGTACACTTGCTCTTTTTTATCATTTGCTCCTCTATTCTAGAGGAATAATGTAATCCTTGTTGCACAATATCCTGTTGAGTAATCATCGCAATTTGTTTCTGATGACAATCATGAAGAAATTGTGTAACAGATCAGCTTTCGCTAAGAACAAATGCAAAACAGCACTACAATGTTGAACCATTTTCATACAAACTAAGCAAACATCAAGGTAAGCATTCTAATGTTGCCAGTATACAGTAGCTCTTGACAAAGCCAGTGGGATTGACGAAGGTCATTCTCAACAATGACACACGGATGTGACACACAACCCAAAGTTTGTGTTTGTTGGTGTGTGTTTGAGCCGTGGTGAAAAGCTGCCTTTGATCCATGTAACACAGTGCAAACACAACAGATTCTCAATGGAGACCAAGTAGTGTTGTGCACCGACACATCATCAACAGCATTACAACTACTGTACCTTTTCACATTTTCTTCTTCATAACCCATGGACTGTCTTTGATTTCACTCATGGTTTTGGTCTTTTTCTCATACAGAGTTGTTCGGTGAGAGTTTCTGTTCCAGAGGGTTACTTGTTTAACTCGAGGTCACAGCCCTGGCAAATATGATCAATCAAGCCTTTCCCTCTCAGCAGATTCCCACGCTGTAATACTTGGCAGCTTTTCAGCCATGTTGGCCTAGGATTATTCATCTGTCATGGTCATGTAGATAAGATGAACCAGGCGAAAAGATTTCTTTCGACAATTCGAGAGGGAGAGAGTGGAATGCTACACAGGAACACATCCCTAAATTTACAATTACATTTTTGGAACATGTTAATTTCCAACAGTGACTGGTTTCGGGCAGATTACTGACAAAATGCAATCCAGAATTGAATTACAAATTACAGTACATGACCAAGATATAATCAGTAAAGCACATTTTCAGATGATTTAAAAAGTGTAATCTAATCTGATTACTTTTGGACTATACTAGTTCTTTTCTATCTGGCTTAGTTCGTTTCAAAGTGTAAGGAATAAAACATGACAAAGGCATACTTGTTATAGGAAAATGATCAATGACGGGGTGGTGTGATGTTTTACTACCTCGAAGTTTTCCAATAATTTTCCAGTAAAAACACAGCAAACTGTTTTCTTCCTCGATTTGCCAAAGCTAAACTTTTTTATTAATGACAGAATGTTAACATCCACAAAATCTGTTATAAGTGATATAGCAGCTATAAACAGTCGTTCCCGCGGCTTTACATCTGACTGCTGACACTGGAGACTCCTTCCATACGTGCTAAAGAAAAGCACTGTGGTATAAATTATTTACTGCCAAACATGTGAGCAAGTGATTCATCAGAAAGAAACAGAAGTTTGATGAAACATATTGAAACGTTCAGTTCCCGATGATGCCACAGCCAGGCTTGGGAGGGACCTCATACTGTCTCTCCGCTGTCAATCAGAGTGACGCTAGCGAATAGTGGGCATCTGTGAGCTCATGTACTGTATGTGGAAGACTACTCTCTTGGTGCTTTTCTCTGAGTGTTCAGCTGCCCTGTGATGCAGCATGAGCAGCTCAAAAAAGATACGGAGGCTTCACAAGTCCCGGACAAATCACGTGCTTGCCTTCACTCTCCATGCTTGGTAGCTGTCGTGTGATATGGCTGAGCTAGCTAGTGAGTGGGAATCAGCAAATGACAAATTGCCAAATTGGGAGAAAATCGCATTACAGAAGCAACTGCAGAAATTATCTGGCTTTTTTTACTCCCACTCTTTTGACTTATAGTGTGGAACTTTAACCACTGGTCATGTAGACTCTATCAAACCCTCTGCCACAGATTCTTCCAATGACAAACAGAGTGTGTTGTGTTGGGTTGTGTTGCTTAACCAGCCCTAGAGGGGACACACACAAATTATGTGACAGATGTTACAAGCTGAGTGCATGAGTGCGTCCTCATTTTGCTGAGGGTCACCTTTTCGTACAAACACAATACAAATACAAAGTACTAAGCAGAACCACACATGTAGTCAGTGCGCAAATAGAAAAACACACCCAATATCAATCCACCTCCTCCAAGCCAAATCCATCAGTCGGAGAATATAACACACTACTACGTCAAACACCTTCAGTTCTGCTGTGTTCAGCACCGTGAGAAGAATGATACCTCTGATTTAATGAAGCAGGGCTCATACATGTGTATGTGCCTCAGTTTATTAGCTGCTGAGTAAGACGTATCTGCTCAGTCATCTGCCCCAATGGATCGCCTCGTCTCTCCTAGCAAGACAATCCTGTGGGTGCTAGTCAGCAAAAAATGGCTAACGCAGTCGATTTGTTAATGAAATGGGAAAATTTCTGCATACCCACACAATATGTGCTGTATCCAGCCAACAAAAATTGCTAAAAATATGTATTTGGCTAGATTTTGCATGGGTTGGCATGACAACAGAGAAATCTCTTTGGTTGCGACTGTGATCAATGGATAACAAGGAAGTCCTGCTAGCTGGGATGATCCAGACGTGCTGAAAGCTCGGTGGAAACTTTGCTCAGGAACTGTGTGTGTATTTGCCTCCCACACAGCACAGCTGCTTCGGACCAGTGACAGTGCAGAACAGTGCCAACCACCTCCAGAGACCTGTAGCAGCCTACGACTCACAAACACATGGCGCTGTACTGCAAGCAAACTACAGAATTATCTACACTAACTAAGCCAACACGGTGAAGTGGACACAGTTTTTACTAAGACTTATCTGATATACAGATCAGTTGAATGATAGACATTAATCACATTTCTAAACACAGCTTTAATGCGATTTCAGATTATTATCCATGTGAAGAAATCTTTTCAGGGGAAAGTATGCTCAAAAAGTTGCTAGAAGTGCTCACATGACAACGTATACTAATTTGCTTATTCATTGAATCGTCACTATTAGTTGTCTATCAAAACATGTTATATGAAGAAGCAAGATTTTCTGAAGGTGCTTAGAATAGAATAGATCAGAGTAGTTGGGAAATAGATATGAAGGAAACAGTTTAGGAAGTAATAACTAGCTTTGTTGTTTTTCTTCTTCTTTCGGCTGCTCCCATTAGGGGTCGCCACAGTGGATCATTGGTCCGCATATTTGATTTGGCAGTTTTTACGCCGGACGCCCTTCCTGACGCAGCCCTCCCCAATTTTAACTGGGCTTGGGACCGGCACTGGGAGTGCACTGTCTTGTTCAACCCCACCGGCTGAGGTTGGTTCCCTGGCTGGGAATCGTACTCAGGCTGCGGTGGTGAGAGCGCCGAGGCCTAACCACTAGTCCTTCAGAGACCCAGGAAGTAATAACTAGATTTATTTGCTTATAAAAATAGCCTAGAAAAAAAAACAAAGTACAAAGAAGTGTGAAGAAATGCTGGTCAATGATTGGTTGTTAGGAACATCGGCTTGCGCAAGTGCAACTCAGTCAGCATTTACACACTGGCGGTGGGTCGACCGGACCTGCTTTCTCAACTTGTATAACCAGCAGGTGTGAGAGCTATATCGAGTGCAGTACAGTCACTAACGTTAGGCCAAAAACTTGAGCTTTTTTAAAAAAAAAAAAATACATTCACAAAACTAACAAAACATCGCTTAGACTGCTATGAAGCTAAGCTAAGGTGTCAATGTTAAATAAAATATATTTACTGTATTAGAGTATTATCACAGTGGGCTAAGCTCAGTGGATTAACCTTCACTCACTAGTGTGCTCAGATGTGAAAACAGAGATCACGTGTGAATAATTTTGCTAAAAGCTATGTAGACATGATAAGCAATGTCAGCTTAAAACCCATGTATGGCGAGAAGCACCCACTTTACTATGAAGCAGGAGAAATTCTGGGACAGTCAGCTATTACTCACACTTCTTTGCACAGACTTTGTATATCATCCAGACAAGTTACAAAGTGAAAACATTCTTGTGTGTGAGACAGACCTTGGTGGTGATGCTCAGTGAAGCGCCCTGGTCCAGCAGTATAGAGGCCACGTCTTTGTGGCCCTCGCGGGCGGCCAGGTGCAGTGGTGTGTATCCAGACGTGGTGGTGGAGTCGGGTGCGGCGCCGTGCTGCAACAGCAGCTGCACAATATCGGGCTTCCCCAGACGACTGGAGATATGCAGCGGAGTCTGGTCATCCTACACACACACACATAGTGATACATGTGCTGCTTTAATAAAGAGACAGAAGTTATATAAGTACAAGATTCTTATGTCTATACTCTCTGAATTAAAACTAAAATATAATTAATGTCCAAATCTTCACTGTTGGGAAATACAACATTCCGGCCTGTTTATGCTTCCCAGTTTGAACAATGTTTAAAGGTTTAAACTCAACAAAATTACTATAACTTCACTCTATACTCTATAGTCACATATGCACGGTATAGTGAGATAGCACACAGCTATTTTTACTTTAAAAGCTTTAAATGATTACTTAATAGTATTTAATCATACCTTGGACTTGGCATCGACGTGAGTTCCGTTCTGTACCAGGTATTTCACTACGCCCGTCTGTCCAGCCCTGGCGGCCATGTGGAGCGCCGTCTCTCCCCTCTACAACACACACACACACACACAAGGGCACCACCGACTCAACACGTAAGCTTCTGGGAAAAGGAACCACTGCACCAGGACACTAAGCCTTTGTCTATCTCTGTGTGTCTGTATGTGTGTGTGTGTGTGTGTGTGTGTGTGTGTATGTGCCCATGTGCTCGTCTGTGTTGCCTATTAGCTAAAGCCAACCCACTTTTCTTTCCATCCAGTCTGCTTTCTTTATTACAACTGCTGCTACACACACGACCCAAAGCAAACTTCTGTCTGAGGGAGGAGGGGGGATGGACAGTTGCACATGATTACAGTCTGCCTGCTGGCCTGGAACTATAATTACGGAAGTGTTAGAAGCCCAGACCTGCGCTCTCAGACCCCTGTTTAGGCACAAAAACCAAGACTGTTATTACCCTAAAAGGCCTTATAGCATCAGAAAAGCAGGGCAATGACAGGTTTCAGACAGGAGCTGCACGCCTCTCACGGGCCAGAATTCTTTCCATTGTTTTGCTTTAACATTATCAGGCTTTTTTTTTTTAGAGATTAGATGTGTGCTTTGCCCGACTGTGAAACACAAAATGGGGGGGCTCATGTTCCAGTACTCACCACATTGGTTGTGTTTGGCGATGCACCATGATTCATCAACTGAGTCACAATGTTTTCGTGCCCCATAAAGGCGGCCACATGAATCGGCGTGAGTCCAGACTGGCAGATAAAGACAGAGGGAGAGAGGATTAGAAACTTGCACCTTTGAAGTTCTAGGAATTGATATGACCTCACTGCTCAGTTGAACAAGTTTATTTTACAGCAGGCGTTCTGAAATGTTTTACAGCCAGGGATATCTTACTGTGCGAAAAAAAAAAAAATCCACAAACCCTCTTATAATCTTAACTCAGATTTTGTGATCACATTCCAAATAATCCAAATTCAGGCAAATGTGAATCAGAGAGGCGTTCAGTCTTTCCAGCCACAGAACACAAACTAGTTACATTGTGTTAAAATGTAGACGCAAAATTTTGCCTAACAATATTATAATAACTAACGATATTAACAATAATTGTCTTAGTTTTATTAAAATTGCAGTTATACTTAAGTTGAAGTCATTTATTTTACCTACTATAATAACTAAATACTTTTATAACACAGCACTATATAATCTAAGTCTAATGATAAACTGATTAAAAAACATGTTTCTTTACAAAAGAAAAAAACTTATAATTGTTGATATGGTGAAGCTTTCTGTAAGGAGGAAGGAGTCTCCAATGTCAGTGCTTAGTAACAGTCAGAGGTAAAGTTGTAACTTGAAGTATTTTGCTTCAGGAAAGGCTTCAGGGTGGAGAACGTGTGCTTTGTGGTTTCTCAGTAAAAGTCTGCGTTTTTTTTCTTATTATCTTCAAAAGAAGAGGAAATGACTGTTTATAGCTGTTATGACATAAATGTTTACAGGAAATAGCTTGTTTTTTTTTTTGGACATTCCAGAACATTAAATGTTACTATAAGCAGTTTAAAAAAGTTTGACTTCCATTCAGTTGCTGTGGTATAAGAGGAATAAAACATTCTGGGATGTGCAGCATGCCCCATTATGTTTTATTCCTTACATAACAGCTATAAAAATCTTGACCATAGTTGACAGAGAGTTTTACTGTCATCATTTCATAACAATAAAACCTTACGGACTAGCTATATATCACAACCCTGAGTTTGAGAACCATGGATTACAATACCAAAGCAGAGATCATTACACATTGCATGTCTAACAGATATAAAGCAGTCAATAAAAACTAGCTGACCACACACACATATTCTCTCTCTCTCACCTCTGTCACTGCCTGTATGGATGCTCCGTGTTTCAGCAGCAACTCCATCACTTTGATCCTGTTCTTCTTGCAGGCGATGTGAAGTGGCGTGAAACCATTCTAAAAAGCAAAACCGGCAGTCAGGGCAACATCTCCAGCAGCACAGAGTAGGAAAGACACAGCGGTTCCCTCTATCGTCCAGCCTTCAGACACACCACATAAATGCAGAGCCGTATTTCTCAGGCTGAACGGAAAAGCTGCACCTCTGCTGCTGCAAGGTTTGCCAAACTCTTATTTCTACAGTTTCCTTTCAGTTTGTTCCCTTCCCCCCCGTACAGTGAACTTCAGCGGCACGCCCATTCTTTTCCAATTACTTAAGAGAATGACAGCATGCCCCCAGCCCTCAGCCAAGTGTGTGTGTGAGTGTGTATCAGTGTATGTTGTACAGATTTCCATGGTGCTGTTCAGAAATAAAACATGTTCAGTGTATCACATATGTCCTTACAAAAACTTTGAGTTCTGTTACATTTCAAGGATAAGCTTCAGAGTTGAAGTGTACGATCAGCTTAGAAAGCAGCAGATGCTGATTCATTATACTAAGACAAACTAAAACAGTACAGAGGCCCAATTTAAATTGATTTGTAAACTAATAAATTGTTTAAATTTGCAAACTAATAATGCTTTCACATCTTTTGGCTGCAGATTTACTTCCTTAGGTTTAACCCCTTTAGGTGCCAGATTATTATTCGTTAATTCATTTTAAAAAATATAGATTACTCATAGTGTACCATATTCAGAGTTGAGTTACACACACAGTGAGGATTTAATATCAAAACTGAGCCCACTGGTATTCAGACCTCAAATGTAACTACAGATTTACTCTCTATTTAGAAACTGAGGGAGAGTTACATGCATGGGGTGGAGTTTGAATAAAACAGATATGTTTTTCCCCAGCTCCCCTGAACTTAACCCCAAGGACATACTTCTTGCACGTTATTGGCTCAAGCAATATTAAGCCCAGGATCACTGTCTAACAGTTTGATGTATGTCAATATGCTATGTTGAAATTTGTGTTTTCGGCTGTAAATACACACAATATACCACAGGGAATACCATTTGAGACCAGTATTAAATACATAAATATGACACACGTAGACAGCATCTTAATTGGAGACATTGGTTATTTTTGAGGATAAGCAATTTTTATGGATAAAATTACGAACCACACATAAAGTCAGTTGTAATCATAGCAAAGGAATGGCTGGTATGGCATCGAAGTAACAAAATTATTGGCTATATTATATTAATATGGCAAAGCAAAATATTTAATGAAAAGTGGGATTAAACAAAGCCTACATCCTCTGCATACGTTATTCATGACCTCGATTTAGTATGTTGTATCTTAATTGAGTTGTGTTTGCAATTATCTGCTGGTGCACAATATATAAAAAAATAAATAAAAAGCAAAATAATAGGGTTTGCTGGATCAAGTGCTATTTTACAAGCTGCTGAATAATGAGTTAAATTAAACAATATAGTATCTTCATGATATACTAGACTCATATTAGATGTTTATTTCAATACTCACTGTCTTCTCATTCATATATCATTGTATCAGTCATTTTTATTTGTTAATTATAAATTGTGTCTTGCTTTTATTATACATTGTATTGCATCTGACAGCAAATTTTAAAAAGTCTGCATTTTCTATCCCTGATTTTTTTGTGTTTAAAGAAAGTGCTTGTTTTTAATGGCAGTGGTCTTCTGAAAAACCCTGTCTCTGTGCTTCTACTGAAGAAAATTCTGGCAACCTCGGATGTGTGAACTACATGCAGGTTATTTGCATAATCTGAATTGGGAGCCCAGAAAATTGACTTAGGCTTCCAAACATAAACATAATTTCCAAACACAAATACTGACGTAACTTTACTGACGTAACTGTACTGACGAGCCAACTC